TTCTCCAGCGAAACGGCTTAGCTGCCTGTCGGGCGTCAGCTTCAGTAGGGACAGGGAGCGACTCGACGGGCAGGGAGCTGATGACCGAGGACAGCTCGTCTGCGCAATCTGCCAAGCGGTCGACGTTGTATTCGTTGGCGCCATGGTCGTCCTGAGGGCCGTCGGACACATCTGCGAACAGCTGGGCCCTGGTGGCAGCAGCTGAGACCATGTCGGCCTGCCATATGTCACCCCAAAAATCCACCTGGTTGTCCGCCACCGCCTGCAGGAGGGAGGAGCGAATGCCGAAGACGTCGACTTCGTTGCGGGCCCATCCCTTCAAATTCGCCATGCCGGAGATGGGGGCGGCACCCGCGACTGGTGCGCCCTGGGCCCACGCATGGAAGCTCTGAACCCTCTTGGACGCAGCCCGATGTTCAAGACGCTGGGCGTGATCCTCCACGACGGTCGCGCATGCCTGTAGGGCGATGATGCAGTGCTGACGTGGAAGATCGACAGCATGATGTATAAGAGGCCATGCCCATCCATAGAGCAATGCGCCCTCTGGTGTGTGGATGTCCTGACGATGCCCTGGCCGCAGGGCTCGAGTAATGCGATGCCAACGTAGGGGGCCATGATGCTGCTTCTGCAGGGACGCGGCCAAATCAAACACTGACACGGACACATTGCGCAGGCATCGAGGCTCTGAGCCCTCAGCTGGCTTGCCGCACAGAATTGGCCCGTCAATGGGCCTCCAGATGAATTGCGGCGGGGCTCCTCGACCTGCATGGGCCGCCACGTCCTCGACCTGGTAGATGTGAGCCAAATCTTGTTCGACGAAGGACATGAAGCTGGAGTAGAGATCGTCGATCCGCTGCTGCGCCTGATGAGGACTACCTGGAGTCCCACGACCTGCATCATGTCGCACCACGTTAAGGCACGGCTGGGGAGGTGGAGCTGGGACCTGGGCTTCGCGGCCAAGTCGAGACGCACAGGGTAGTGCGGGCGCGGGGCCCGCGAGTCCAGGATGTAGGGCTCCCCACAAGCCTTCACGAAGTCGGGCGAGACGAGCCAGTAGTCAATGGTCCGATAGGTGCCCGAGACTGGTGAACGGCACCTGCCTCTCAGGGTGGTTGCGACCGCCGCGGCCTGCATGACCTGCAAGATGCCGTAGTCCTCGAGGTCGTGGGGCTCCGCGTTCCAGCCCCAGCAAAGACGAGCGACACGGAGAAATAGCGCATGCCCCCAGCGATGCGCATGAGCTTCTGGTAGTTGGTAGTGAGGTAGTCGGCCTGGGCCACTGACTCCATGTACGCGGATCCCATGATGAAGCCTCATCGAAGTCCGGCGTGTACGTGTACTGCTACCGTCCAGGAGCGGAAGATCCCAAAACCGTCGTGAACGCCCCCTTGTCCACTAAGCAGCGTAGTGTGTACATACGCTCTGACAAAGATCCCAACCCCTGCACTCGGTAGACCTGTCTCAAATCTGCGACACTTACTGATGAATGGTTGCCAGAGCTGAAAACAATGAGCGCATCCGTAGCGCCCTCCAGCAAGAAGCGCCGCAGCGAGAGCCAGCACGAGCCGTTGAACGTGATGATGCCTGTCCGATGCCTGGCGCCACGGCGCCGAGCGCGCCTACGCTGTGTCTGCAAACTCCCATTGCGCCGCTGCCCCTCCCTCTGCGACCGCCTGCTGGCGTCGGGTATTGGGAGTGACTGGGGCTGCAGGGGTCGCTGCTGCCGTCTGCGATGGGGCGCTGGCGCCAGCGGGCTGCTCACCCGCGGCGCGAAAGGCTGCGGCTGCCGACGACGCAGGCCGGGCAGAAAGGGCTGCACCCAGGGCGCGGACGTGGCCCACAAGCTGCTCCAGTATGGCGCCACCCACCACGTTGCGATCTTGCCCCTGCTGAATGGAGGCGCGAGCACCCTGAAGAAGTTGCTGAAGGGCGACCATTGTGGATGCTGCATCGCCTGGGAGCTGCGGCGTCGCGTTGGCGAGCTCGGCCTGCGCGACCTCCGCCTCGGACTCCCCGCGCTGTGTCTGGACTGCCTCCAGCTTCTCGCTGGCTGCCTTGGGTTAGCAGTGAGCTCATCCACTTCCTCCTGGAGCTTGGCCCGCTCTGCCTCGCGAGTGGCCTGGCGGTCCAGAGCGGAGCGCAGCACATCCGCGGGGGACATGGTGGCGCGCTCCGCTGCTTCGGCCTGGGCGAGCTCCGCCTTGGCAGCCAGGACGAGCTGATGCTTGTCATCGTAGATGTTGCGCAGAGCCTTGATCGCCCTCAGACACTTGGCCACTGCGTAGGTCTCGGTGCTGTTGGCGCTGGTGCCCATGGCGTCGGCCTCAGCACGCGGAGCATCGCGAGCATCACGAGCAGGTCCATTGACCGAGGGCGCGGCTGGGAGCGAGGCTTGACCTGGTGGCGGGGGCCAGGGATCGCCGTCGGCCTGTCTTTGCGGTCCCTGCCACACGCCCAGCAGGTGTCGCGGCTGGCGAAGTTGCTGGTGTAGCCGCACGCCCTCGTGGCCGCGCACACCCAGAGTGGGCCACTGGTTGTGCGCTGCTGCTGCCACGGGGCGGGGGGGGCCGCGCCGCCGCACCGCCTTCCTGCATGGCTTCGCCGTGATGGCCAGCGAGGAGGCTGCGGGCGGCCACCGCGCTCAGCACCTCACGCGCTGAGGCGCGCCGCCGCCGCAAGCGCCTGTGCCAGGCTGGCGAGCGCGAGCGCGCGCGAGGCGCCGTGCCGCCGCCTCCACAGGATGCGCCAGCGCCCGCCTCGCCGCGGGCCGCTGGCGGCTGGGGCCGCATGGCTGCCCCAGCGCTGGCCCGCGCGCTTGGAGCGGGGGGGGGCCCGCGGCCCCCTCGAAGCGCGCACCAAGAGGTCCCTCTTGTCCGGGGTCACATATGCGCGTGGTCGATGGGAGGACGAGCGGAGGAGGGAGGACGAGGGGGAGGAGGAGGAGGAGGAGGAGAAAGAGGAGGAGGAGGAGGAGGAGGAAGAGGAAAAGGAGGAGGAGGAGGACCAGTTTAAATACAAGAACGAGTCATCAAAGATGTTGGAATAAACCATCCCTCCAAGCTCGCTCTTCATAGGCCCCTATAATGGTTCATTCCCACTGAAGGAACTTCTTCTTTGGAAGACAATCGTTTGATGACCTGGAAGATTGCCGAAACATTGTTCTCGGGACTCCAACGCCACGGATCAACCTGACTGCTGCGCCTGGACACTCCTGAATCGTGCCAGAAGGCCATTCCTGGGTCTTCAACACATCGATTCAACAGAACTGCTGCACCCGCATAATCTGGAATCCTTTCGTTTTTTTAGAGACAAAAATCTGACACGTTGACGATGGGAATATGCGGACTGCTTGCAAAGTTTAAATGCGAATGTGCGCCGCGCTATGGCGAGAGCCACATGTTGAAAAGGAGCCGCCCTCAATCCGTGAAGCCCTTGCAACTTGTTTAAAACTAATGTGCGCGGCACTAAGGCGAGAGCCACATTTTGAAAACGACCCGCCCTCAATCCGTGAAACTTCTTGCAAATTCTTTAAACGAATGTGCGCCGCGCGAAGACGAGAACCACTTTTTGAAAACCACCCGCCCTCAATCCGTGAAGCTCTCTTGCAAGTTTTAAAAAACGAATGTGCGCCAAGCTAAGGCGAGAGCCACATTTTGAAACCGACCCGCCCTCGATCCGTGAAACTCTTGCCACTGCTTCAAGTGAATGTGCGCCGCGCTAAGGCGAGAGCCACATTTTGAAAACGACCCGCCCTCCATCTGTGAAGCTGTTGCCAATTTCAGTTTCAGAGTCATAAATGGTGAGGACGTCTCAGGCGGAACGCGCGGCCCGCCCTAAAAACTGGCCTCGGGGTGCGACAGGGAGAAGTTATTTATCAGGAGAAGCCATGGAGGAGGAGGAGGAGGAGAAGGAGGAGGAGGAGGAGGAGGAGGACGGGGGAGGAGGAGGGCGAGGAGGAGGACGAGGACGAGGAGGAGGACGCCCATGCTTGTGATTAGCCTGACGACGACGAGCAGCAGCGTTGGAGGGCACCAAGTGCACAGCCATGCGCCGACCCTTGCCGGGCCGTCCGTGTGGGCACAGGATCGGTAGTGCCTAGCGCCTCCCTGCCCAAGCCAGGAGGACGTTACGCGTTACGCACCGATCCTCACCACGAGTGGGTGCGAAGATCGTCGCGTGCTTCGCGGTCTGGGCGGTGTCAGAGCGAGGCGCGAGGCCCTCTTCCTGTTCCGGTGGGGGCGGGGGGCGGCGGCGGCGGCGGCGGCGCGAGAGTGCAAAGACCATCGCTGCGCAGCGTCAACTGATCCGTCGCGACGAAGTGGAATGGCTGGGCCGCGACGTGCCCGCAATGCGGCTTGGCCCCAGAGGACTGCGAGCACCGCTTCTGGGTATGTCCGGCGTGGGAGGTTGGCCGCAATCGCGCTTCGCGCTTCGCTGGGCGCGAAGATAGCGGACCTGGGATCCCAGGGCCCAGGGGGGGGCGTGCAGGCGCGCAGACAGGCGCGAGCGGAGGCTGCCGCGGCGTGGGCTCCGCAGGCCTAGCTCCTACTCGTAGCCATCATGGGCGAAAAAGCTGGGAAAGTGTTCCCAGCAAATTACAAGGACACGTGGCCGTGAACCTCGGCAGGCCGGTGCTCACGCCTTTCAATTCTTTCATTTCTTAGTTCCTCATCTTTCCTCTTCCTTGCTGTGCATGCTGCGCTGAGTTTTTGTTCCCGCTCACGCGCCCGACGGCGTATGCTTTGAGTGCGCACATGCGTAGTTCCACCTTTCGGCGCGGTGCGTCCAGGAAGCCGCGATGTTGTTCCTGGCCGCAGATTGCTCGCCCGCACTGCAGCCCGGCCATTGCATCAGGAGGGCTGTTGTTCATCCAAGTAGCAGCGTGCCACAAAAAAACAACGCCAACACCCCCTGGGGCGGTGCCGGGGGAGGAGAAGGAGGAGGAGGAGGAGGAGGAGGAAGGAGGAGGAGGAGGATGAAGGAGGAGGAGGAGGAGGGAGGCCAGCGCCACGCGGCCGCCGGGCCGCGGGACCCGCGGCCGTCGCAGCACCCGCCCCGGGGCCCGGCGGCGGCGGCGCTCGCGGCCCTGCTGCTCGCCGCGGCGGCCGCGGCTCCGTGGCCCCCCCCCCACGCCGCCTTGCGCTTCGCCGCCGCGCCTGCGCCGCCCTGCCGCCTCGGCCGCCGCCGCTGCGCCGCCTCGCCGCCGCCGCCTCGCCCCTGCGCCGCCTCGCCGCCGCTGCCTCGCCGTCGGCGTCGTCGGCGCCGGTCGCCGTCGGCGGCGTCGGCGTCGTTATCGCCGACGGCGCCGCTGTCGTCCGTGTCACCGTCGTCGGCGTCGGCGTCGGCGCTCGGGTTTTCGGGGGCGGCGTGCAGGGCCTTGCTCTTGGAGCTTCTGGGACTTTGGGAACAGTTGCGGAGTTTCCTGGGGCCGTGTAGTGGGTGTTTTGGTGCCGGTTGGGCGGTCGTGGAGGCATCTTGAAAGAGTATTGGGCCGTCTTGTGACCATCTTGGCGCGCAATTGCGCCGTCTACGGGGCGCTTGGGGCTGTGGGGGGTGCACTTGTGGGGAGTCTTGGGGCGCTTGCGGCCTCTTTGGACGAAAAAAGGGTGGAAGGTCGGAAACGAGTTTAAGACGTTAGTGTGGCTCAATAGATTACATTCTCGGGCGCACTGTGGAGGGCTTCTTGGTGATAGTGGGCTTCTCGGGCGCTTCCTGGGATCTTAGGTGATTGCGGGCTTCTCGGGTGCCTCCGGGGGTCTTCCTGGAGGCGATTGGGTTTCTCTTGAGGCAACCATCTGCCAGCTTGACGGCTCGCGTGGCGTTCCTCGGCCGCCCTGGAAACCAGCTCAGCCATCTCGGAGGCGTCTGACATAAGTCGGGCACGTCACTCTACAGGAGGAATATCCAGAACTAGTCAAAAAATCGTGTAGGGACGATCCTTCTACTATTTTTGATCATTGGGGGATCTATTTCACAATTGTTTCATTTCTGCCCAAAATCCGCCTGTAGGGGGACATGCCCGACCCAATCTAAGACCAACAGGGAAGCATCGAGGCGGCGGGGTCCCCGGGAGGGGGGAGGTGTGCGAATCAATGCGGCGACGATGGAGGGGGCCGTAGAAACGTCAGAATCCCCATTCGACGGCCATGCAAGGGCGCGTCCGGGTGCCAGGGGGGCGAGGCGGCGGAATCGCGCACTAGCCAGCTGCGCGCCGCGGACAGGCGATACGATTCTGCTGGGGGCCGCAGCCGTGGCTCCAAGGGAGATCCCCCGTGGCGACAGGGCTTCGGCTCCGCCTCTGCCCGGCCCTGCCCCTCTTGCTCAGCTTGCCGGGCCCCCCTCCCCCGACATCCGACGATTTGATTTGTTCCACGCGCGGCCTCAGAGATCCCAGCCCTCTCTCTGGGGGCAGCCCCTCCTCCGGGAACATCATTCGGTGGCCCCAGGGCCCATGCCGCTGACGACGGTCCACGCGGCGTTGCAAGTGTGCATTCGTCAAGAGAACGGCAAGATCAAGGCTGGAGCGGCTCCCAAAGGGGCCTTGGAGAAGGATGCAGAGCGTCTGCTGGCGAAGCTCGGGATGGCCTCAGAGGAGATTCAGACGCACTTGGCAGCTTAGATGATGGTATGTCGGCCCCCTCCGTCGGTGTGCAACGCCTTAATGTCTGGACCTCTGGTCCTGCGCCTTCGGAGGGCCCCCCCCTGCAATGATTCAGAGAGTGGATAGCGCGTCGGCTTCAGCGACACCCTCTGCCCCGACTTCGGCACCTACTACTTCTGAGACCCGTGCTCGTATGAAGATAAGGCAACCCGCCCGCTTGTCTGCCATCGCTCAGTCAATTCGTATGCTCGAGCTGGCCCAAGAGGGCCACCTTGGACACTCCCAGCTTGCTCAGCTGCAAGAGAAAGTAGCCACCCCGAGTTTAGAATACACCTCGGGGAATGTGAAATTTAAGGCTTACTATCAGGAGCCCCTGGAGTTTCGTTTGCCGGTGGTTCAGGCTCTTCAGAGAGCCGCTCAGGTCAGGACGGTTTCCACTGACCTCAGTTCCTCCCCGTTCTCTGCTGATGCGCGTGCTTCGAGTGCGCTGCTTGCTCCTTCCCTTCCTCCACCACCGCCGTCACTGATTTCAGAACCCGAGCAGAATGAGTTTCGCACATATCGCCACGGCCCCCTCCGCTGCCTGCTGCCCTCTCTCCTCTCCTTCCTCTCTCCCGCGGCTCCTGCTGCTGCTTGCCCCCCCTTCTCCTGGCCTCGCGTGTGTGTTTGCGTGCGCTCGCGTGTGTGTTTGCGTGTGTTGGCGGTGTCCTGTTCCTTTTCGCCCGTCGTTCCCCTTCGTTCCCTCGTCGTGTCGTTGCTGGGCCGTGGCCTAGGATTGGATTGGGTGAGACTTTCGACTCTCTTCTGATGCGAGCCTGCCGCTGGGAGGATGGTGCCCATGTAGGCCGCCACGGGCTGTTCCCCACTGGACGGTCCTGCCTTGGGCCAGTGGCTTCCCCCCAGCGAGGCTGCAGGCTACAGTCCCGTGCTATCCGCAGATCCTTATACATATCATGTGCCCGTTTGCTAAGCCTCGCACTACAGTGGAACTCACCAGGGTCGTAAGCGTTCCAGTCCAGTCCAGTCCAGTCCAGTCCAGTCCAGTCCAGTCCAGTCCAGTCCAGTCCAGTCCTCCTCCTCCTCCTCCTCCTCCTCTCCTCCTCCTCTCCTCCTCCTCCTCCTCCTCCTCCTCCTCCTCCTCCTCCTCCTCCTCCTCCTCCTCCTCCTCCTCCTCCTCCTCCTCCTCCTCCTCCTCCTCCTCCCAGGCCGATAGCGAGAGGAGAGCCGCCCAGATGGAAAAGCATCGCATCGTCGGAGACCGGGGGCCCCCGCGGTGATGGATGGGCGCCGCCGTGCGGCTGCTCGCCCTGGCAGAGGCGTCCCTGGCCAGCCAGCTGCCCTGCTGGAGCGGCGACGACGGCGGCCTCTCGCGCGAGGCCTGCTGCAGACCGCCGCGCGGCAGCGCCTCCTCGGCGGCCGCAGCCGGGTGCTTCAACGGCCTCTTCTCGGCGGCGCGCCGAGGTGGGGAGGCGAGAGGGGGCAGGCCTCCTCAGAGCCCCGAGATGCCGGCGTCGCCCTTGTTGTTCTCGTTTCTTGGGCGGCTTCGCCCTGTTTCGGGCCCCGGGGCCCTCGCAGATCCATCCAGCTCGAAGAGTGCCGCAGGAACATGGGGGCTAGAGCTCCGATCGTGGCTACTACTATGTAGCTTGCGCGTGACGTCGGATCTCAGAGAAGGCGGGGGGGCTTCTCGGACCCCCCCCGGCCTTATGAGAAGCCAACTCCGGCGAATTATCAATTAGGCGAAGGTTTGCAGAAAGCTTCTCTGGGCCGGACGCCTTCCGAGCCTGCTGAGAATCAGGCGATCGCAAACATGGATCGAGGGGGCGTGGATTAGCGACGGGCGCCGTTTCCATGGGAAATCGTGGACTTCCGCCGCCGAACGAGGCGGCATCGGCCGCGTGTTGGGGAGGGCACCTCCCCCGATCCATGGATTGGGCGACCGCGCGCCAAGTCCATAATCGCTAATACATGCTTGCGCGCCCCCCAGAGGGAGGAGGGACGAGGGACGAGGGAGGAGGAGGAGGAGGAGGAGGAGGAGGAGGAGGAGGAGGAGGAGGAGGAGGAGGGAGGAGGAGGAGGAGGAGGAGGAGGAGGAGGAGGAGGAGGAGGAGGAGGAAGCCATACGGCCGAGGAGGGGCTGGGACCGTCGCGGCTTCGCTCGTCGTCGGTCGCCCCTTCGGTCGTGGCTCGCGCGCCGCGGAGCCATCAAAGAGAAGATAAAGAGGCGCCGCAGCCGCGGCGGTCACCCCGACCGCCACGCCCAGGACTAAGGAAGAAGCCTGGCACCGCCGCGCCAGGACCCAAAGAGGACAGGATAGGCTGCTGATCAGACTGGCGGCTGCTGCCAGCAGGCTGGAGCAGCACCACAGCGCGCAGCAGCCCCAGCGCCACCAGCAGCACGCCATGACGCAGAACTGGAAGCAGCAGCGCGGCGCCTCGAGGGAAAGGTGGTCAGGAGCAGGGACCACACACCTCGAGGCGTCGCAGCGCGGCCCTGGGAAAAGGTGGACAGGAGCAGGGTCCACAGCCCAGGCGCAGCACCAGCGCAGGCGCAGCAGCAGTGCCAGTGACTGGACTGGTGACTACGGAGCCATCGGAGGGCGACCCTGGGAGTGGGCCCTTGGGGATGGCCAGCAGCACAACGCGCAGAGGCGGCAGCACAGCAGCAGCAGCAGCAGCAGCAGCAGCCTCAGACCCACAAGCACCACCACCAGCCAGCCCACCACCAGCACCAGCAAAAGCACCCACAGCACCAGCAGCGAAGCGACAGCGCCCAGCACTGGAAGCACAGTGCGCCATGGAGGAGCGCCTCAGCCAGAAGGAGGAGCAGCAGGCGCAGAAGGAGGGACCAACACGACGCTCCAGCCTCAGCCTACATCGGCAGCTTCCAGTACAGCCCGCAGCAGAAGGCAGTCCTGGACAGCATCACGCCAGTCTCCTTCGCCGTTGCGATGGAACATGAGAGCTGGTCTGCACCACCAGACGACGAGGAAATGCGGTTCGTGTGGTACAAGACGAAGTGCCACAGGCTGGGACGCCTCTCCGAGAACATTGCTGGCGCTAGGCTGGCGGGTTTGTGCACATCTAGCCTCGAGCAGGAAGCGGCGATCACCGCCACGAACATCTCCTTCGTCTTGCCCCACAAAGAGCGCATGAAGCAGCTCAGGGCTACGCTGGAAAAGCTGGAGGAGGAGCACACCGAGATGGAGAAGCGGCTCAGCAAGATGCTCGACCAGGAGGCGGCGGCCGCCAGAACCATCAGGGTCTACAAGACCCTGCTGAGGGAAACTAGAGATCAGATGGCAAAGACAGCGGGTGTGAAGGAGGAATCGTCAGAGGAGGAGGGGAGCCAGGACCCCACCAGAGGACGCACGCCACACCCGGCTGCGAGGAGGAGGCGCGACCCAGCTGCAGCACTAGCGGCACCAGCCACAGCTCAGCCAGGCATAGCAGCGAGTGCCTCCTCGGGACCAGCAACAACTGCGCGATCAGCCCCAGCAGCACCAGACGAGATCAAAGACGCCATCAGGAAATTGACCGAGAGGCTCGACTCGCAGCAGAAAAAGGAACAGCAGCAAAGTGACCTGCTGGCACAGGCAGAGCTTAAGCACAAAAGCGAGCTGAAGGCCTACGAGCAGACCATGGCGCAAAAGATGATCCACACGACCGAAGCGCAGCTGGCCAAGCAGGAGGAGTGGCACACATGGGAGGTCAACGCGCTCAAGCGACACCACAACGCCAAGCTGGAGGAGGAGGAAGCGAAAGCATACGAGGCACAGAGAGGCAGCCAGAGGACACAGGAGGAAAGGGCCAAAGGGATGCTCGTGGACTTGCAAATGCACCTCGAGTTGGAAAAGAAGACACTACGCGAGGAGATGCACAAGGAAGACCAGAGAAGAGCAGCCGTCTACACGCAACAGGTCCAGAAGGCCAGGCAGGAGAAGCAGGCTGTGAGACAGATGGCGGCTCAGGAGGCCCAGTGGTACAAGATGGCGCAGGAGCACAATGAAAAGGCGACGCAGGAGATGGCGGAGGCGGAATACCAGGAGAGATGCGCCCGGCGCAGCGCTTACAAGGAGGAGGAGCTGCGGATCGCAGTGAACTACCAGCAGATGGCCTACGAGCACCAGGAAGAGGCCAACAGGCGCGAAGCGATGCGGGTCGTCCTGAACCTGGAGCACGCAGCCATCCAGGCGAAGGCATACGAGATGCAGCACGAGCAGGAAAAGTACTTGGAGCGCGTCGGGGAGCACCAGGGGGCGGTGGACAAAGCTCAAAGTATGGAGGAGGTGGCACTGCAGCGACAAGCAGCAGCCACGAGCGAGCTCCAAGCATTACAGCACCAGCAGGAGTTGGAGAACCACGTGTCTCAGCAGTACCACAGCACTCTGCAGCACCAGCACCAGCAGGAGTTGCAGGCCGCGGTGCAGCACTACGCCCACATCCAGTACATGAGCGACGCACAGAGGCAGCAGCAACTACAAGACCTCCAACGCGCACATGATATGCAAACGGCAGGACTCCAGAACGCCCTACGGGACGCCTGGGGAGCAGGAGGACAAGTGGATGAGGACCTGCTGCTCGACATGACGGACGACCTCATGGAAGACCCAGCCACGATTGAGCGCGACCAAGGCATGGCGGAGCAGGAGGGCACGTACCAGAGGGAGCAACTGGAGGCAGACCTACTCCGGCTTCTACCTAGCCAGCACGAACTCCCACATCCCGAACTACCGCCGTACCTCGAGGAGCTGGCCGAGGTGGGATTTGGAGAGAGGTCTCATACATCGTCGATGCCAACGCCAGAGGAGCCTACCCTCTCGCCGTTCGGCGACCTCAGTTTTCAGGACATGAGCTTCGTGCCGAGGCCACCCGCTGAAGAGCGTCCGCTACCACCACCACCACCTCAGCAGCGCCCGCCCATCGAGGAGCACGCCAGCATCGGCCCATTCCTGCATACGGGGCTGCTCGACGCACGGGCGAACAGTGACTGCATCCCACTTGGCGAATCCGACGACGCTGACTTGCAGGACGAAGAGCCGAAGATCTGCCAAGGCCTGCGCGATGAGAAGGAGGACGAAGCTCCGACAAACCTCGCCTCACCCTCACCAGCGCTACCAGCCGACTCACCCATCCCGACAGAACAGCCCACGCCAAGACACATACTTTTCCCACCCGTCACGCCTCTCACGCCAAACAAGACCCCACAACAACGACCACAGCCAGCCAAAACCCCCATGACGACCCTGTTCATCGACCTCAGCCGCGACGAGGAGGCCTGCCCTAGCACACCTCCACGGATGCCGATCGAGGACATCACGCCCGCCGTGCCACACGAGCCACGGCTGCCACCTCCGCGATTCCACATGGGCACGCCAGAGAGGACGAGCTCAGCACCACCTTGCAGAGGCAACCTGAAGCAGCCAAGAGACCCCAGGAGGGCGAGGAGCCAGCCGAAAAAAGGTCAGGATCTGCGACGCGGACGATGGCTTCGCGGACCCAGGCGACAGGGTGGCATCCTTCATCGAGAGCGGCGAGAGCGACCTCGACGGGGGTCGACTGTCAAAAAACTGAGAGGGAGTACGCAGGCTGGGGGGCAACTGGCCCAGACCTGCGCCCCCAGCCTCAGAGACCCGCGCGGTGACGAGCCTACGCCCAGCGACCCCCACCCACGGCCCCTGGCCGCCCGCGCACGATCGCACCTAGCTTCCATCACACTACATAGTTACGCCCAAGCCGATGCGAGCCTTGGGGATGCCGCATCCGCTTCAAACCACCAGCGCTCTACTAGGGAGCCCCGACTCAAAAGACGCAGCAGACGAACCACCTGCACTACTAGCTCCCTAGACGCCGCAACTGTGGGCAAGGGTGGGGGCCACCCACAGGACGGCGACTTCAAGTTTGAGCGCTCCAAGCGCGGACCTGAGCGACTCCCTCAGGCCGCGACCCCCTTTGCCACCAGGGTTCAGGCAGGCAACCAGCACCGCGACTGGGCGAGGCTGCAGCAAGAGTGGGAGAGCTACTCGGGCGGCCAGCCGCAGTGCCAGCAGCGTGGACCAAGGCGACACCCCTTGGCCATGCCAGGATCGACACCCCACTTCGCGGGAGCTGCGGCTGCCCATGCGGCGTCGCAACCCTGGCAGCACAGCCACGCGAAGGCGGACCCAGGCAGCAGGTCGAGACTACCAGAGCCATCTCATCTGGAGGTCTCCCAGCGCCGGGTACCCTGGGGGTATCCCACACTTGCAGTCGACGGAGCTTGGCCCACGCGCCAACCTCACGCCACCAGCCATTTTGGCTCGCAAGAAGACCGCAAGACAAGCAGAAATACCCCAAGGGGGCTGGCTAGTCCACCAGTGACAGCCAAATTAAATGCACACACCACGGCACAACTAAGCACTGATCACACCCGACAGATACAGCATGGACCAATACAAGCCGACGGGCTAGAGCAAATCCAA